ATCCATTCATTCTTTTAATACAACAGTCATTTCTGCAGTTTTTGGGGAGGTCACCTCCTAATAAATGTCCTTACAGAAAATCTAACTGCTCATTTTCAATCTATACTTTGACTTTTAATACTTAACTACAACAAATATCACATACTTTAACACTTTTAATACTTAACTACAACAAATATCACATACTTTAACACTTTTACTCAAGTAATATTCCTAAAGGACACTTTAACTTTTACCAAAGTAAGTTTTTGGTAAGATAATTTTACTCAAGTATCACTTTGTGGTACTTTATACAACTCTGATTGTAGGTACTAATATTTCAGTTGAAGCTGTAGCCAAGTTGGTAAACTGAGTCATTATTTATTTATTTATTTATTTAAAGATTAAAAATTGTTTAAAAGTTTTTTGTAATGTTCTTTTCAACTGTTCTCTGGTGTTGTTTTTTGTCTGGTCACTAGGGGGAGCTCCAAACTACTTTCCAAACAGCTTCAGTGCCCCGGAGTGTGAGCCTCGGTACCTGGAGTCCAGGTTCAGGGTTTCCCCTGATGTGGCTCGTTTCAACAGTGCAGATGATGATAATGTCACACAGGTAATCATGAAGGTCTTTACTGGTTTCTACCTATAAATAGTCTATGGTCCAGACCATTTTTTGGTTCAAATTAGTGTGATAACACACATATACAGTGTTGTTTTATTCCCCAATTCAATTCATTTACTCATTTCATTAAAAAACAAACAAAATATTTCACAAAACAAAACAATACAAATAAAATAAAATGAAAATAAAATAAACAAAATAAAATGAAACCCTAACCCTGGCAGCAGAAGAAGAAAAAAATTCTTATGATATCAAAGTTAAGTGTTAAAGTTTATGCAAGTGTAAATTTCTACAGTTGCTGATTTCATTAGTTTTTTTTTTTAAATAATTAAAAAACTAGATGTACATGCACACCCAAGAACAAGTTAACATTCTGGCTTAAGCCTCTGACTTCTAAGTAAAGCTCACAATCACCTCCCACAGAGACCGTATGAGTGTATTATATATCTTCTGAATCCTGAGTAAGTAACTGTTGACTCTAGTGACCCTGATGACCCTGGGTGCCACACGGTGAAAAGAAATTGTAGTTTAGGTGAAAATTGTTGAAAATGGGTATTATTATGACCCCCACACATGAAGCGTAAGCAGGAGTCCTGTTGTTTTCGTACTGTTTATTTTATTTATTTATTTATTTCAGTGATTTTTGGTCAACAGTAGCACACAAACAGCTGCACCGATCAACATGAAATGAGTCAGGACTGTAGATGAGTCTGACCTACACTGCTCCAGCCAACGGTTTTATGATAGACCCCATATTTGAGGAGGGGGCTCCTTTCAAAGAGGGGGGTGTCTGGACATGTAAAATCACTTTTGTTGTTTAGCTCTGATGAAGCTCTATCC